GGGGGGGGGGTTCTACCCATCGCTGTTAAAGCCTTGGTCCAACATTATCACAAGGCAGAATGCCCTTACCCAGCGATGGGAAGCTTTACCCATCGACGGGAATCCAGCGATGGGAAGGCTTATCCATCGATGGGAAGGCATGACCCTTGTATGTCATTTAAGGTTGATTCTTTCCATGTTTGGAAGTCAACCTCCCACCCAGCGATGGGAAGCATGTACCCATCGATGGGTAGGTGACCGTTGCCTTCAAAACTGTAGGAAAATTGGCCTACCAGCGATGGGTAAGGTCCATACATCGATGGGAAGCCAATATTCTGCAGATCCCAAATCTTTTCAATCCCATAAATCAAGCTAATCACCCCTTTAATGCATTGGTCCGTTGGAGCCTATTTTGGCACTATAAAAAGGGGTATTTGGGTCTGCTTTTCTCAATCAATTCACTTCACAATATTCATATTATCATTGCATTCAAACAACATCATTTTTCATAGCTTTCTAGAGCCAATTTGTGAAGTTTGAGTTGTTCTTGAGCGTATATAGTTTACACAACATCTACTCTAAAAGAGAGCCTTGTTCTTGAGTGTCTTAGTGTTGTATACACGTTAAGGAAAGCTTGTTTCCCTTGGTTGTACGAAGGAAAGGTATTTTCCTTCGGGTTGAAATCTTGGAGTGCGGTATCTCCGAGCAAGTGTTGTTGAGGCTTGTGGGACTCGAGTTCTCAGGTTGTAACGGTTTGTTAAGCACCCGTAAGCTTAATGGAAGTAGTGTAGCTCGAGAGAGTCTCTCGGGAGGCTGGATTAGCCACAAGTTGTGGTGAAATAGGGTAAATCTTGGTGTGCTCCCTTTACGCTTTCTACGCTCTTTATCTTTCACGTTCTTAATTTTTTATTCATGCGATTTCTACGATCAAATGCTATTCACCCCCCCTCCTAGCATTGGTCACTTATTCTAACAATTGGTATCGGAGCCTAACTCGCGTCCAAACTTAACCGTTTGAGAAAAAAACGATCATGGGTTCTACTTCTAGAAATTTGTATGCAGGAATAGATGAAGGGCAATCAACCACACGGCCACCTCTTTTTGATGGAACCAATTATACATATTGGAAAGAACGAATGAGAATCTATATTCGTTCCACGAACTTCCAATTATGGTTGGTTATCAAAAACGGGGAAGAGGTGCCGATGAAGAAAGTCGGAGATAAGTTAATCCCCAAGACCGAGGACGAATTTGATGCCGAAGACATCAAGAAAGTAGAGAATTATGCAAAGGCAATAAACATGCTCTACTGCGCGGTCAATCCCGATGACTATCGTAAAATCTCCTGCTGCACAACTACCAAGGAGATGTGGGATAAGCTCAAGGTAACATACGAAGGCACGGACCAAGTTCGGGAAGAGAAAATTGACTTCCTAACGCAGGAGTACGAGATGTTCAGGATGAAACCAGGCGAGAAGATCGACGACATGTTCAATCGCTTCTCGAAGATCATTAATGATCTTCACGCCCTAAAGAAGACGTATGCCAACAAGGACCTCGTGAGGAAAATCCTGCGGAGCCTCACCCCCGAATGGAGATCAATGGCCGACGCCATCTATGAATCCATTGGAGTCTCCAACATAACCATCGACGGATTAAGAGGTAACCTTAAAACTTATGAATCTACAATTCTAACCCCGTCTTTGGATGAACAAAAGAATAAAGGGATAGCGCTCAAAGCAACCAAGGAAATGGTTGAAGAGGAATCAAGTGATGAAGACAACGAGTTTGACCTCATCATCAAGAAATTCCACAAATTTATGAAGAAAGAGCACGAGCGCAAAGGAAAGAAGCACGACGATTCCCCGAAGTGCTNTAACCATCGACGGATTAAGAGGTAACCTTAAAACTTATGAATCTACAATTCTAACCCCGTCTTTGGATGAACAAAAGAATAAAGGGATAGCGCTCAAAGCAACCAAGGAAATGGTTGAAGAGGAATCAAGTGATGAAGACAACGAGTTTGACCTCATCATCAAGAAATTCCACAAATTTATGAAGAAAGAGCACGAGCGCAAAGGAAAGAAGCACGACGATTCCCCGAAGTGCTTTGGCTGTGGCGAGATTGGCCACATCAAAGAGGCTCGTGGGACTCGAGTTCTTAGGTTGTAACGGTTTGTTAAGCACCCGTAAGCTTAACGGAAGTAGTGTAGCTCGTGAGAGTCTCTCGGGAGGCTGGATTAGCCACAAGTTGTGGTGAACCAGGGTAAATCTTGGTGTGCTCCCTTTACGCTTTCTACGCTCTTTATCTTTCACGTTCTTAATTTTTTATTCCTGCGATTTCTACGATCAAACGCTATTCACCCCCCCTCTAGCGTTGGTCACTTATTCTAACAAAAAGACTACACCGTGGGCCCGAGGACGCCCTCGGCCGGGGTGTACTCCGTGGGCGCGCCCGTGGGGACGGGTCGAGAGCTTGCCCTCTCCCCGCTCCCTCACGTAGAGGCTTACGCGGTGTCCAGCGGAGCCAAGTATTGCGAGTATCATCGCAACAACACTCATAACACCAAGCAATGCTTCACTCTTCAGAAGGAGATGCAGCGACTTATCGCCCGAGGGCCGCCTCCACGAGACAGTGGAGCAGCTCCTTCCCAGGGTCCGCCGGAAGGAAGAACTTGGAGGAAGCCGACTGAACCGGTCGCGGTGGCCACACAAGCAAGGAACCCCGAGAAGAGGCACATCGGGCGGGAGTGTGACGATCTAGACGAGGACGAAGCCCAAGGATATCCGGTGGGATTTATCCATGGAGGAAAAATTGGCGGGGACTCCGTCGCTCAAAGGAAGAGGTGGAAGCACATGGCCTTCGTCGCCAAAGTCCATCAGGCGTCGGCGCCCAAGCACGGAAGACGAGAGCAAATCCAATTCACGGAGAAGGATCTTCCGAACACGCCGAGCCCCCACCGGGATGCCTTGGTCGTGAAGATGGAGATTAACAATGCCATAGTGCACCGCACCTTGGTGGACACGGGAAGCTCGGTCAACATAATGTATGAGAAGACCTTCCAAGACCTCGGCTTGGAACGCAAGGACTTAAGGCCCGTGCGCACTCCTCTCTACGGGTTCACGGGGGACTCCATCGAGGCCGAAGGAGTCATCGCCGTGCCCGTGATAGTAGGGGAGGGTGCGCACAAGGCCAAGCTAAAGATGGAGTTCATGGTTGTAAGCATCAACTGCGCGCACAACATGATCCTAGGACAACCCGGCCTTGAGGACTTGGAATGTGTGATCTCACCATACTACTTGTGCATGAAGTTTCCCACTCCGTCCGGGATCGGAGTGGCAAGGGGAGACCAAAAGTTAGCTCGATCGTGCTACGTCCGAATCACGAAGAAATTGCCAAGGGATGAGACGTTGGTCGTACACGCACAAGAAGAAATGCGGAAGCTAAAAGCGCGGCCGAAGGCCGAGCCTGCTAAGGAGGTCGAGGAAGTGCCGCTCAACCCGCAGATACCCGAGCGGAAGGTTAAGATCGGGGCGGGCCTAACAAGGAGCCAGCGGAAGCGCTTGGTGGACGTGCTCGCCGCCTACCGCGTGATCTTCGCGTGGGGACCCGGGGATATGCCGGGGGTGGACCCCAAGATCATATGCCACCGGTTGGCAGTCAACCCGGAGTCTAGGCCGGTGAAGCAGAGGAAGCGATTCCTCTCGTCCGAGCGGAGGGAGTTTGTCTCCAAGGAAGTGGCCACCCTCCAGAGCATTGGGCATATCAGAGAGGTTAAGTACCCGGAGTGGATGGCCAACGTGGTGTTGGCACCGAAGGGAAACACGTGGAGGATGTGCGTGGACTACACCGATCTAAACAAGGCGTGCCCCATGCATCCGTTCCCACTCCCGAACATCGACCAGCTGGTGGACGAGACGGCGGGCTGCGAGCTCATGAGTTTCATGGATGCCTTCAGCGGGTACCACCAAATCTGAATGCACCCTGAGGACGAAGAGAAGACGTCTTTCACTACCCCCGGCGGAGTATATTGTTACAAGGTGATGCCTTTTGGACTCAAGAACGCCGGGGCAACCTACGCTAGGATGGTGAGCAAGCTCTTCGCGCCCGTCCTCGGGAATAGCATGGAAGCGTACGTCGACGACATGATTGTGAAGAGCAAACAAGCGACCACCCATGCAGAAGATTTAGAAGGAGTTTTTAAGATTATGGAAAAGTACAACCTTTGGCTGAACCCGAAGAAATGTATGTTCGGAGTCCAAGGCGGTAAGTTCTTGGGACACATGGTGAGCAGGCGCGGTATTGAGCCCAACCCCGAGAAGGTGCGTGCCATCCTTGACATGGAGGCTCCGCGAAATGTCAAGGAGGTGCAGCGCTTGACCGGAAAGTTGGCGGCGCTCAGCCGTTTCCTCTCCAAAGTGGCAGATCGAGCCGCTCCCTTCTTCCAAGCCGTGAAAAGGTCTCGAGGATTAGTATGGACGGAAGACTGCCAGCAATCCTTTGAATCTCTGAAATCTTATCTCCTTTCTCCGCCGGTCCTCGCCAAGCCCAAGCCCGGAGAGACCTTGTATCTTTATTTGGGAGTGTCGCCCAAGGCACTGAGCTCGGTCCTGGCCCGAGAAGAAGGCGGAGCTCAGCACCCAGTGTACTACACGGCGAAGACGCTGAGGGGTGCCGAGCTCAGGTACTCAGTGGCCGAAAAGACGGTCCTAGCCGTAGTGTCAACTGTGCAGCGGTTGATGCCCTACTTCCAAGCTCACCCGGTCCAGGTGCTCTCCCAATAACCTATAGGTGCACTGCTCAGGAGTCCGAACGCGCCCTCTCGCATGTCCAAGTGGGCGGTGTTCCTTGGAGCCTTCCAGATCGAATTCAAGCCAAGGCCAGCAATCAAGGGACAAGCGCTAGCCGACTTCGTGGTAGAGTGCACCACTCGAGAAGAGCCGAGCCCGGAACTTAAAACCGATGATTGGTGGACAGTTTTTACCGACGGGTCCTCCGCCGCCAAAAACTCGGGGGGTGGAGTGGTAGTCATCGCTCCCGAAGGCTTCAGAGCATATTACTCAGTCCGATTCGGCTTCAAGGCATCGAATAATGAGGTGGAATATGAAGCGCTCTTGTGCGGGCTACGCTTAGCAGCCGGGATGAACGCGACAAAGTTAAGGATAAAGTGTGATTCACAGTTGGTGGTTGGCCATGTCTCGGGAGAGTTCGAGGCGAAGGACGAAAGAATGAAGAAATACAAAGATACGGCTTTAGAACTTCTTAAAAGCTTCACCGCGTATAGTGTCGAGCAGATCCCTCGGGCGGAGAATGCCGAGGCAGATATCCTGTCGAAGCTGAGCTCCGACACGCCCGAGCACATCAGGAGGATGGCAAACGTGGAAGAGCTATCTGAGCCGAGCATCCATGCCTTCCCCGTGGTAATGATCTGCGCTCGGCCCAGAGATTGGACGGACGACATAGTTGCCTTCCTAAAGGATGGCGCCCTCCCGGACGATGCAATGAAGGCCAAGTTGGTCCGGACAAGGACACTGGGGTATACATTGGAAGGCGAGAAGTTATACAAGCGAGCGTACAACGGGACGCTACTCAGGTGCCTTCGACCAACTGAAGCGAAACAAGTAATGGGGGAGGTGCACGCCGGAATCTGCTCCGCCCACCAGGGGGCTTATGCGGTGTCAAGGAAGATAACCCTCCAAGGGTATTTTTGGCCAACAATTGTTAAGGATTGCGCGGAGTTCGTGAAGAAATGTAAGGTGTGCCAAGAGTTCCAGAAGGTACCAGGGAGGCCTTCAACAAACTATACCCCCATCAGCACGGCTATCCCGTTCGCGCGGTGGGGAGTAGACCTCATGGGCGCACTTTCTAGGGGCACCGAGAACGTAAGGTACGCCATTGTAGCCATCGATAACTTCACCAAGTGGGTGGAAGCAGCCCCATTGGCAAGCATCACCGGAGCTCAGTGCCAGAACACATAATCACAATTCGAGTCCAAGCCCTTCAACGACTTCCTTGAAAGCTGGGGGATCAAGCACAGCTATGCTTCGGTTGGGTACCCTCAGACAAACGGACAGGTCGAGAACGCCAACCGAACGATAGTCAACGGGCTGAAGCGGAAGTTGGAGGCCTGCGGAGAGTGGGCAGAGGAGTTGCCTTATATCCTATGGACCTACCGGACTTCGCCTAGGAGGGCAACCGGGGAAACCTCGTTTGCCTTGTGCTACGGATTCGAGGCAAGGGCCCCTGCAGAGATCTCCATCGCAACTCACCGGGAGGAGGTCTTTGACCCTGAGCGCAACGAAGAAGCCCTGGCAACCGAGCTCCATCTCGTACACGAGAGGCGAGAAGCGGCCTTCATACGGGCAGAGAATTACCGAAGGAAGGTGAAGAGCTACCATGACGGGCGCGTGCGCGCACAGGGGTTCATCGAAGGAGATTGGGTGCTGCGCAAGAGGTCCGTAAGCCGCCCCCTAGAAGGTGGAAAATTTGCCAAGAATTACGAAGGCCCTTACATCATCAAAGAAGTGGTAGGCCCCTCGACGTTTCGCCTGCAGACGCCGAGCGGAGGGGATGTGCCCAGGACATGGAATGCCGAGAACTTGGTTAAGTTTTATCAATAGATTTCGAATGTACACGGCCCCCAAATAGGGGAACCCGTAAACCTTTTGATTGAATTCAATGAAATGTATTTTTTGCGAACAAGGTCTTAACATTCGCGCTCGGTACCCATCCTCAGGGGAAGAGCCGAGCGCAGACCATACCCGGATGTTCTTCCCGGATGTAGGTCAAACATCCGTGCTCGGCATTCCTCCTCAGGAGAAGAGCCGAGCGCAGACCATACCCGGACGTTCTTCTCGGATGAAGGTCAAACATTCGTGCTCGGCACTCCTCCTCGGGAGAAGAGCCGAGCGCAGATCATACCCGGACGATTTTCCCGGACGAAGATCAAACATCTGTGCTCGGCACGCCCCCTCAGGAGGAAGGCCGAGCACAACCCTTCAGGCTAATGGCAAAAGGCGAAAAGAAGACTAAATCAAATCCAAATTTTATTCATCCCGGAAAACGGGCAAGTACATGGCACAAACACCTTACAATAGTTAAACACCTTAGAAAGCATAGCATATCCATACAAAGTGAAAAATCCGAATCCAAAAACAACAAGTCTTGGGCAGCATTACATCAAATACAAAAAGTCTAAGTCATATCACTCGGCATTCGTCTGCTCACCGGTTGTGTCCCCGCCATTCGGGTAGTAGATGGAAGTGTCGAACTCATCAGGTTGTCGCACGGCTCGGGGAAGTCCTCCTTGGCGAGGAACCTGTCCGAAAGTACTTGCTACGCTCAGAACAAACCGAGGTTGTACCACGACGTCCCTTTGGAGCGAGCGAATGCCTTCCCTTCGGGAGTCTGCCCCCATGCCTTGAGCAAATCGTTCATGCGAGCGAATGCCTCCTCCTGGAACGCACCCGAGGATATGAACTCGGCCATGGCCTGATCGCGACCCTCCTGGCGCGCCTTGCGAGCAGCCTTTTCCGCGAGCTGCTGAGCATGCTCCTCGGCCTGTCGAGCTTGCTCCTTAGCCGCCTTCAGCGACTCATTGAGGTCAGCGATCTCGATGTAGGCCCTGGTCCGACCGTCTTCGCTGACGCGCTGCCGTTGGCTCATGTCGACCATGCACATCATCGCCTACGAATAATTAAGGGATGAGTACAACATTTGAGGTACATTAATGAGACATGATGAAGGAAACTTACCGAACCCAGCTCGTGAAATGAGGCCGAGGCCAGAGTCTCTCGGTCGAGATCTTTAATCTTCGCGCGATCGGTGGGAGGAGTGAAGCTGTGCAGGAAGGTCTCCGGGTCGTAGTCCCCATCCAAGAAGGAGACCCGAGTAGGGAAGGCCGCCTTGACGTACTTAGGGTTTCCGAAGTCCTTCATCATAGGGGACTCGGAACCCTGGGGAGCCTCGGCAGCGGAGGTCGTTTCCTTCCTTTTCTTCTTCTGGGCCATCTCAAAGGTCGGCTTCACAGGAGGAGTCGGGGGACGGGCACTTGAAGCAGGGGCTTGGGAGCTGTTGCTCGAAGCATCAGGGAACATGAGCTTCACCCGCTCGGCGTTGGAAAGCATGATTTCACCTGCACAAAACCAAAGAAGATAAGTGGTGAGGCGAGTACTTAGCCGCGAGGAGGAGATGGGAAATCTGAATTAGTCGTGACCTACGGACGGCCGGGTGAAAGAGATTGCACTGACCTGAGGGGCCTTCTTCGATGCTCCGCTGGGTGTCTTCCGGGGACGGGAAGACAAAGCCGAGCACCGCCAACGCCTCGTTCCTCACTAGCGAGCCAACTTCAAAAGGCCCCACTCGGCAGAGCGTCTCCACATCCTCGAGCATCTTGTTCGAGGTGACGCACGCGGAACGACGACGGAAGGAACAGAGGGGCTCTGTACGAAAGGGGGAGCCCAAGGAGAGAGAGACGAAGACGAACTTCCCTTTCCAACTCTTGGCGGAATCCTTCCACGTCTTGAAAAGCTTCTCATGCCTTTGGGAGATGGAGGCATACGAGCCCGAGTCGGAGTTCGCCCGGCCAGACGATTTCGCCAACCGGAAAAGCAACAAGAAGCGGGCCAGGTCGGGGCGAACCCCGGTCCCTTGGCAACGAATAAGGAACCCCGCCAAGTAGCGGTGGGATTTGGGCACGACTTGGCAAGGGAGAATATCGAAATGGAGAAAAAAATCTTTGACTAACTGATGGAGTGGGAAGCGGAATCCGTACTCGAGGGATTTGAGGTGGATGGCGAAGAAACCCGGAGGGGCGTCGAAGACAGACTCCTCGGAGGTGGGACGGCGCACGATCACGCCCGGCGCCGAAGCCAAGCGCTTCGCCTTGCGGAATTCCTCCCCCGTAAGGGTGCACTTCCGCGCACGGATCCCCGAGTTCTCCAGGGTGGTACGCCTCTGATTGCAAGGCTCAGACTGAGGAGGGACCTCGACCGCCACGACTATCTCCTCGACGGAGGGCGAGCGGGAGTCGCTCTCTTGCGTGGAACCTATGACAGAGCCCTCGGCATCGCGCTCGGACTCGGACTGACGAAAGACTGAGGATTGGGAAGACATGGAAGAGCAAGGCCGAGGAAGACTAACCTAGTACGGAGCCGGAAAGTGGGCGAGGACGACGACGGTAGTGCTAGCGACGGCAAGAGCTCCTACTTTCTCTCTCTAAAAGTGAGGAATGAAGTGTGTGGGGTTGGTATTTATAGAGGAAGGGTTTGAATGGGTGCAATGATGGGCCACCACTTGCCCTAGGGAGGCGAAACGGCACACCCCTTCATGATGGGGAAGCCCAAACGGCACCAATGATCTGCCAACTCCTCCACGTGGGCCCCCACGCCGCTTCCATACAGTACCCACACTCTCTCGTGTTCCATCACCGATTGCAATGAAACTTGGAGAGTGGGGGGCTTATGATGGAGGATGACTCCAAGAGACACGTCAGCCAGACCCTACCAGCCACGTGGAAGAGCTTTCTGCTCGGCCCATGAGCTCGGCTCGTCTTACGGGCTCGGCTTGGCCTGCGAGCTCGGCTAGAGAGCGTGACAGTGATGGAGGAAAGCGACCGGCTGCGTTGACTGCACGATAGCGACGGGATGAAAGGGACAACTCATAACAGATGATGACGTCCGCTAGGCGACGAACCTCGATCAGAGGACTTTGACTATGTGTATTTTATCCCCTATAAAAGGGGCGAAACCCCTCATTGTAATGGATCCAAGTTTAGAACAAATAAACTCCTACTTTGCATTCTCTCTCTCTAAAACCTCATATTATTCTTTATTCTCGGTGGTTTATAACCATCATTAGATTTGTAACTTTAATTTAAGTTGCATATAGTACTTGCCTAAAGGTGAGCTTATTAATTCATTTATTTGATAGTTTTTTATTAAGACATTATAAACACCACATTATTCAAGTATTGATTTTCTTATAAGAGTTTTATAAAATTATATGTCCTGTTTGTGGATAATCCTATTTTGAATCAAACATTAAATTTTTAAATAATGAGTTAGGAATATTCTCACCTTTTGTTCGTACTTTTAATTTTTCATAGCTTAGAGTAGAAAACTGATGATTGTTCATCACTTAAAGTAAAATATACAACTATTCATCATATTTTATTCGAATACATAGGCCTGAAACATTGATTCATTGTCACTTATTATTGTTGTTGTTGTTATTACTATTATTATTATTATTATTATTATTATTATTATTATTATTATTATTATTATTATTATTATTATTATTATCCAAACCCATGTTAGGATTATTTGCCCCTTGATATCACTAAGCCACTATTTTTTAGAAGTGTATATATAGACTCGACATTTATTGTATTGATATTCTTATAAGATTTTATTATTTTAAAAAGAGTTCACATATGGTGTTATTTCCCCTACGAATCACACACAAAGACACAGAGTACTGCACTCTAAAGATCTTTGAAGGGAATAGTCAAATTGTTAAATTTGTGATCTATTATTTACATTTGTAGTGGTGATATGAAGTTTGAAATATACAAACTAATTGGCCTAAAAAATTATAATGGTGATGAGATCCACACATTAAAGTTGGAAGGCAGCAAAGGCGGGGAATGAGGCAAATCTGAATGATGCACTCAAGTAAATAGAGAAGGTAAGTGCTTTAGTTGTCGCTTCCTTTAATGGCCATAAGCGGCCCGTGAGAATGCCATTTTTTAACTTCAGGTCTGTTAACTTCAAGTTTTCCATTTTGTTGATTTATGAATTCACTCTTATGGAATAATTGTGTACATGGATGTTTATATAGGTGAGGATCCCTACATGGAGTAGGATTCACCAAATAAGTAAACTAACATAAATAACAATTCTGCTATAACTAGACTTCTTTCCATATATGTCTAACATCCCCCCTCAAGCTGAACGCCGTGAAACGAGAGGAAGCTTGGCAACCAATGCAGTGTAGCGTGGCGAGGCAAGAGCTTTTGTGAGAAGGTCTGCCAGCTGCTCATTAGAAGGAACATAAGAAACCGTCATTTTCTCTGCAGTTACTTGTTCTCGTACAAAGTGGCAATCCGTTCCGACATGTTTCATGCGCTTATGGAAGACTGGATTCTTAGTCAGACAGATGGTGGACTGGTTGTCGCATAGAAGATGTGGAGGAGGGAGCTTGATTTGTAAAATGTCAAACAAATAGGTGAGCCACATGACCTCAGCTGCTGCGGCCGATAGGGCTTTGTACTCGGCCTCGGTGGACGAGCGTGAGACACGACTTTGTTTCACCGTTACAGGTTATCAAGTAACCTGTAACGGACCGTCCATCTGTCATATCGTTGGCCCAATCAGAATCAGAATATGCATAGATGGTCTGTGGGCCTCGCCGAAAGACCAAGCCATGATCAATGGTTCCTTTGACATATCGCAGGATGCGTGTCAAGGACTGAAAATCTTGCTCTGTAGGTGCATGCATCCTTTGACAAACATAATTCACAGCAAACTGAATGTCTGGACGCGTGTTTGTCAAGTATTGGAGAGAGCCAACTAAACTCCGGAAAAAGGCGGGATTATCGAATGGACGGCTCACCCCCTCCTCGGGCTGCCGTACGGGTAGGGGCGTGGGGGCCGGTTTGCAATCCTCGACTCCTGCTTTATGAAGAAGTTCACAGGCATATTTTTCCTGAGATAGAAGCAGATGATCCTTTGTGCGTGTGACTTCAAGACCAAGAAAGTAGTGAAGAGGGCCAAGATTCTTCATTTGAAATTCCTTTTGCATAGCCTCGATGAATGAAGAGATAAGAGATGAGGCACTGCCAGTGACAATAATATCATCAACATAGAGAAGGACAATGAGAATGCCAGAGGGAGAGTGCTTAACAAAGAAGCTGGTGTCATGTTCATTTTTCCCAAAGCCATAGTCAACAAGGAACCCTGACAGACGCTGGTACCAAGCCCGGGGTGCCTGTTTCAGCCCATAAAGAGATTTCTTTAGTTTGCACAGATAATGAGGATACTGCTGATCTACATATCCTGGAGGCTGCTTGTAACGCCCCGAAATTTGGCCCAAAAGAATTAATTAAATTGTTAGAGCAATTGATTACGAATTGGGCCTAAAAAGGGGTTAAAATTATAATTTGGATTCTAAGCCCAACTTTTATGTCATCTCGTAGGAAATATTTTTGTGATCGCGTCAGTTCAGACGGCTCGCGAATCGGAGTTATGGAGCTCATGTTATGACCATTTAATCAGGTATTTTGGGCCCGGAGCCCAAACCACTAGTATTGGAATTAATAGATAAAACCTAAACTAATTTTAGCCATAGGATCGTTATCTTCTTTTTTTCTTCTTCTTTCTTTCTTCTTCTTCTTCTTCTTCTTCTCCTTCGTCGCTCTCGATCGCCGCCGTGAGCCAGCCGCCGGTCATCCTCCCTGCCGTTCGACCACCCCAGCGTCGCCCGAGCCAGACGCCGCTCATCGCCGGTCGCCCTTCCCCAGACAATCGCCGCCGCTGCCGATGACGGTTCACCTCGTCGTTCAACCGGTCGTCGCCTCCACTGCCAGCGTCGGTCGTCCTCGTCATCGAGCTGCAGCGCCGTCAATCGCCGCTGTTTCGCCTTCGCCGGAAGTCCACCACTCATCACCGTCGAGCACCGCCGTCGCCCTTAGCTCAGGTCAGTTTCTTCTTCTTCTTCAGTTTCCTATTTCGGTTTGTCTCTATCCCCTCGATTTTGAACAAGGTAGACCGCCAACAGCTGCCGCTCCGCCACTGTCGCCGGCATCCGTCACCGTCGCCGCATCCAGCCGCTGCCCCGGATTGATATCGCCGGCAGATTAACCTCCACGCCGGATTGATTGGTCTATTTCGCATTTTGGCTCAATTTGACCCGTTCGTTTGATTTCGTTGATTTGTCTTCCGTTCGAGCTATCGATTCGATTTCGGCGTAATCCAGGTCCGTACTATGAAGTTAATAGCATTTAGAATAGATTTAATGGTTTGGATCATTATATGTGTTTATGCTATAATTTGGCTAAATTGGTTAATTGAATTAAATTGATTATTTGAATTGAATTGTTGAGGATTGTGAATTGACTGAACAGGTTTGACTTTGACTCGGGTTAGGTCACGTTTGACTTAGGCTTTGACTGGATATTCTGTGGACGTAGGTTTGACCGAATGGTTAAATCCAAGACTTTAATGAATTAGTTAAGTTAATTATTTAATTCTAATCGGTGATTAAAGTCAATTGGTTTATTATGTCGAACATAGAATCTAGCCATTGCTCGGGCGGCTGCAGGGCCTGGTCAGTGAGGTTAAGACGTGCGCACGAGGGTCTATGATCTTGGGTTTGAGGCTATCGCCCGAGGGATCCTACCTCCACCGAATTGAGGCTATCTTCGGTATTACGGATTGAGGCTATCTCCGTCATAGGCAATAAATGTTAAGTGGTTTGACTTTTGTGAAAGTCTAAATTGGTTTGACCGGTGGTCAAAGAGTTAATGAGAAACCCTTAACACCTAAATCGTTTGAAAAGAAAGAAAATAAGTTGACTGTTGGTCAACCGTCTAAAGAACCGAATGTAAAGTTGAATTGATTTTTATGAAAAGGATAAACATATGCACGATCTTAATTGTTGAATTATTACGTTTATTCTTGTGCTACAATGGAGTGCCACCCAGCGTCAATGCTGAGCGGATAGTGTTGTTTTCCTTTTTGCTGTCCGTAGGTGATCAGACAGATGAACCTAGAGCCGATCCCAGAGGGCATTGAGGAGGAGATGTACGATGGCGTGGCTGTCTCTTTAATCTGTTGATTATGCTTTATTTAATTAACTTTAATGCTTATTACGTTTTCGGGCAAGATCCCAAGTTGTTTGACTTTAAAAAGGCTTCCGCATTATTTTAAATTACTCCGATGGATTTTTATATGTATTGATAGAACGTTTGTTTAAAATTGTTTTGAAAATGTTGTAT